GGAAGCCCCCCCCAGCCTCTCCTTTTCCAGGCTGGGCCTTTCCCTCTTGGCAGCCCCTCATGAGGTAAAGGCACGTCAGGCCGTTCTCTGGGAGGCAGCTTTCTTCCTGGAGCGTGCTGGCCCTCGTGCCTTCACCCGGGCAGGAAGGGTCTGGCTCCCGGCCGAGGGCTGCAGCACAAAACACCGCAGCAAGCACAGTGCTCCTCCACCTGCAGGTGGGACAGGCTTGCCCGGTGCCCACCTGGGAGCTGCAGATGAACCCAAGCGAACACTGGGGTGCACATCCCACAGCATGCTGGCGACAATCCTGCCCACCATTCCCACAGGTGGCACAGGCCTGCAGGCCCCTACCAGCTCTCCCCACTTCGCATAGAATCATAGAATGGTTTGGGTTGGAAGGGATCTTAAAGATCATCTAGTTCCAACACCCCTGGCACAGGCAGGGACACCTTCCATTGCACCAGGTTGTTCAAGGCCCCATCCAACCTTGAACATCTACAGGGATAGGGCACTCAGATGGTGATGGAGTTGGTGCTGGAGAACTGAGATACGTAGGAAGCCAGGATGGGGTTGGTGGGAAGGACTTTGATGGGCAAGTCCCAGCTGAAAGTGTCCACTTCGATCTGCTCCACCCCAGTCCAGGTGACGGCCTCCGACTGGCTCCCAAGTCCCCGCCGACTCCCCGGAGGTCACAAACTCAAAGTGCAGCCTCCACTTCAGGGACACTGTGGGCAAGAGAAGGGTCAGTAGCCAACACCACAAGGGATGGGGACAGCAGCTGTTTCAGCTCTGGCTGTCCTGGCAAGGGGACAACCAAACAAGCCCACTCCCACAGGACAGCTCCCTCCCACAGGACACAGCCCTGCTGAGCAAGAGCAGGGCTGGGGACATCACAGTCCTCCTGCAGAGACAAGCGGGGGTGGGTCCCTTCCCTGGTGGCCACTAACCAATGTTGGTGGTGAATCCTGGGGTAGAGCTGAGTGGGATGGGTAGGCTGAAGCTACTCTGGGCTGTGTGCAGGCAGGCCTCCTGATGTCGGGCGTGCGTGCTGAAGGAGACGGGCTGCCCCCGCCGGCGCTGGAACTCCTCCTGGATGCTCTCCTCTGTCTGCAGGCTCACCGAGAACTGCAGGGAATCAGCAGGGTGCCTGCTCTCACAACCTCACACAGCCCTGGCACAAAGCCCCAGGGCTTCCGTGTTCTGAACAAGCTCAGAAGCGGAGCCTTTCTCCACCTCACATCCCAAGGGGACCTCAGCTGGGTCCCACTAGAAACCCTCAGTAGGAACCCCACAGCGCCAATCCCTTCTCCCTCTCCCCACAGTGACCTTGAAGCCAGCACTGACCTGTAGACATGGGATGTCTCCTTCTGAGAAGTTAAAGGTTCCAATGACGTCCTCTCCAATCTTATAGACGGTCTTAAAGATGCAGAACGTCCCTACCTTCCCACGAGTGTTGCTGATGTTATACAGGTCTGTGGAGCAAGCAGAGGTGGGTAAAGGGTTGCAGAAGGACGAGGCTCTGCCCCATACAGTGCTCTGGGTAAGTCACAGAGCCCATCAGAAATGATCCTACACCTGCTGCTTCAGTGTGAAGGACACCCTGGAGGTGACACGTCCTTTGGGAAACACCTGCCGTGAGCACGAGCAAACCACACGCTGGCTGTGATATGCTGGGGAGGGGGTCTCTCCGGCTGAATTAGGAAGAGCCTGAGACTGGCAGTGAGGAGCCCAAGGGAAACTGACCCAAGCGGGCCCTGATAGAGCTACTCCACAGGCCCAGCCAAAGCTTTGCTTTGCCAGCAAGATATTTACAGGGAGCCCTGAGCTGTGCTTCACACCCGGGTTAGGACCACAGGTTCAAGCAGGGAATATAACCTACGCAGGCTGCGTCGGGAGGTGGCCACCATGAGCAGTTCTGTCGCCAGGTCCGCCAGGCGAGAGTCCTTCTTCAAGCCCTCCTCTTCCTCCAGGAAGGGGTTTGAGGGCGCAACGGCCTCATCCTGTGGGAACTGGTAATCCTTGAGCCCTGGGGAGAACGGGAGAGCATCAGGGGGGCAGGGTGCAGCCAGGCCTGCGTCCGCAGGGAGGGCAGCCTTACCGTGCAGCATGAGGACACGGAAGGGAACGCGCAGGAGCTTGATGGGGGAGTTGACACGCTGGCAGCCGATGGTCAGCTTGTACACATACTTCACCGACTGTCCCCGGAAAGAGGGAGGGCCATCTATGGGCAGCGTCTCACAGTACGAGTCTGCAAGGAGTGCAGAAAAGATTGCTTTCCAAGGCCAAAAGGAAGCTCCCGGAGCTGTCGCTCCCAGGCTCCCTGCACCGAGGGTTAGGAACAGCAGCAGGGTTGAGCTAGGGACAGTGCCCGCTGCTTTCTGCCATCTCCTCTTTCCCACCGGAGGCCAAGCACACCGCCTGCCTCCCTGCACCAGCGCACCGCTCCTCACATCACACCTGCCGTCATCTGGGCACTGCTTCCAGCACATACAACCTCAAAGGCATGTAAAAGATGCAAAATCCAGGGAAACAAACACTTGAGAGCTCAACTTACTTATCACAAGTTCAACCTGAACCTGCCCCTGTGCACTTCCTTCGTGCGCCGCTTTCACGACGCAGTCACACGCTGCCGTTTCCTCAGGGCTCTGCCCCATGCGGCAGTGAGGTGTCCATCAAGACCTCATGCCTCTTTCGATACTCACTTTACACAAACTCCAAACGCAACAAAAATTGGTTTCTTCCTGTGTTTTTCTCTGAAGCAGCAGGGTAAACGGCTAAGAAACAATTCAGAGACCTTCACAACAACCTGTGGCGTACTCCCCGTGACAGACTGGTGACTTAGACCACAAAGCCTCTGACTCCAAGGCCTCTGAGATGCCAGGGCCTGGCTTTACACCACATTCAAACCTCCCAAAGCCCCTTGGCCACCACGCAAGCCCCAACGCTTCTCAACGCAGCGTGAACAATTCCGCAGCTTTCCCAAACCGCACGCTGTGTAACAAGAAAGGCACAAACAGTGAACTGTGGAAAGTCTCCACCTCTCTGGCTTGCCCACCGTGACGCAGATACACCCTGCCAGAGGAAGGGCAGCATCCTGCTGTGAAACCACAGATCCTTCTTCATGTCTGGCACGTCCTAAATGTTGAGGCTTAGATTAAAAGCTAGAGTTACATTTTAAATAAAACTTCTGGATTCAACATAACAGAACTGGAAGGAAGAAGAAAGCCCGTGCTAGTGTGTAGCGTCCACAGAGTGTCACACCTTAAAACACAAGGCTGTCCCACTGAACCAGTATGCAGATAAAGCCGACAACTGTCCTGACAGGGAGGAAAATCAGGTGTTTCCAAGCGTGACTGCTGTAACCCCTGCACCAGGCTTAACAAGAGTGCTCGCAAAGACCTTCACGCCCAGTGAGGATAACCTGAGCAGAGACCACCACTGCCCGAGGAGGATGGATGGTTTGCTACCTGGCACAGTAATTTTGCTGCCTGGCACAGGAATGCTGAGACTCAGGAAGTTCCAGTTTCCATGCATATCCCAGAAGGAAGCACATTCCTGGTGCTACAGATGCCTTCCTTACCCACTTGCTGTACCCTCTGGCTGGGCTTCTGCCCTGAGCCCAGGCCACTTTTGTTTCCTGCCCTCTCTGTGATCTACCAAATATTTAAAGGCATTACGAAACTGGAGAGGAGGCAAAAACAACCACTGAAATTACTGGAGGGCTTGAGAAAATGTTTTATGGTGAGAAATTTAGAGAGTTCAGTCTGGGTAGCAAGTCAAAGGGACGGAAGGTGAGTCAACTTCAACGTATGGGCACCGTAACAAGGGGAAGATATTGGGGAATAAGCTGGTCGGCAACTGAAAACAAGGCCATTTATCAAGAGACAGCCTCACACAACCTCAGCTACACGTGCCAGCTCTTGCTACAGTTTAATAACACAGTACTTTGCTGAAGCAGAACTAAGATTTCTTGGTGGTTTTTTTTTTTTGCCTTTCCAAACTGTGCAGCAAAACTCAAAACTTCTGAAAAACAGGAAATGAAGAATTAGGATACACACCCACACGGCCTTAACTCTGCCTCCACAGAGCTGGCAGAAGCCCCCAGGAATGATCTGCAAGCATGCCAGCTGCAGTCTCGCGTGAGAGGAGCAGCACTGCACGCTGATGAGATCGGGGTGAGCAGCCTGGCAGAGCTGGGGCTCCGATATCGCGGTTTCAGTGCTAAAAAAGCCCAGTGCCACACACAGCGGCACTGCTCGCGACACATGCAACGCACGTGTGCATCACACAACCCCGGGGAAAGGCTGTAACATACGGCCAAGGAACCTCGACACGTAGAAGAGTTTGTCTTTCCCATGGAGCTGCATCCAAGCACAAGGCAGATGCAGGTTGCATGTGTCAGTGTCATCTAGCAGCAGAGCAGACACATGCACACACAACACATCATCACTGGGAAGGACAGACTACCGGTAGCTTAGCTGGGGGCTAAACACCTCCTGCTTGCAAAGCCTGCAAAGCTAGCATGCAAGGAAATCCTCTCAACCCATCCCAGTCCAGCCTCCACCTGGAGGTTGGACTGTAGTCACTGGTCTGCCCTCCCAGAGCCTGCCTGAGAAGCTCCAGGAAAAGGGGCTTCCCCCTGCCTGGAGAACAGATGCTCCAGCCCCACATCTGCCAGCAGCAAGGAGCATAGGAGAATCCAGGTGAGCTTCAGGCCAGCTGAGACTTCTGCCTCCTCTTCCTCCCTGGCATGGCCAGTTTCAGGAAGCACAGTGGACCTTGGCTCTGATGCGGCAGGGCCAGCTCCCTTCCCCTGCATGCCACTGTAGAACAGTCAGTAAATAACTAAACACACTCAGGTGACAGGCTTTGCAGTTGAGGAGATGCAGCCCCAGAGAGCACTGCCCCATCCCCCATCCCGCCAACCACCCAGCCAAGCCAAGTTGGCTTCACTCTGTCCACCTTTCCCTTCAGTCAGGCTCCTCCAAGCCTAGAAAGGCAGGAGATCCCAGCTTCAAAACCAGTATGTTACAGCATATGGCTCCTTGTTCTCACTTGCAGCTCTGCTCTCACCTCCCCAGAGCTCAGTGCTCCAGCGGAGTCCGCACCACCACAGGCACTGCCTCTCCACTCCATCTGCTCTGTGATTTGAGAGGTCTCCATCAATCGTTCCCAGCAGATCCCTAGGGCAACCCAGGGAAGCTGTCCACGTGCAGCCTGCAATGCCTAAGGTTGTGCTGCCACTGGAACACAAAGGAGACCTGACACAAACTGACAGGCCAGGTCACGCAGCCACCGGCCAAGAGACAACAGCACATACTTGTATTTCCACAGCTGTCTCCTCAGGTAGAAGAAGCTGCCTAGAACAATGAAAAAGAGATGCTGCAAATTCCTTGTGAAAAGGATGAAAACTTCTCTCAACAGCAAAAGGGAAAGCAGTGATTAAGAAGAGCTTAAAGGGGACCCACTGAAAGGACACTGTTTAAGGGTTTTGGAGACATGGACAACTTTGAGCAGAGAAGATGAGAAGTGCTCACTTCTACAGCAGGAAACCAGAACAGGCAGAAGACTCTGAGATCTCCAGGGCATCCACAGCCTGAAGAGGAAGAACGGACCTTTGGTGGATGCCAGCCTATATCCCAAGAACACTCCAGTGCAGCTGAAGAAAAAAATGCAAGGAAATGCAAGTGTGTGTAACCATTCCTTCAGGTGTAGCCAGGTATTTCAAAACGTTTTATGCCTCGCAGCCACGTAACAGACCTGCAGCACAGGACATGGGACAGAGGCAGGACTGAGAGACACGATGCGGTACTCAGCCCTCATACGGTGGAGAACAGACTCTGGATGATGCAGCAGTTCCTTAGCACTCATGATCCCACCACAGCACCTCACGTTCCACAAGCACCAGGGTCTCCCACTTGCAGCACTCAGGTCTGCAAAGCCAGCTTGAGAGCGGGGCTCCCCAGAAGCGAGCTCTTTCAGCAGGGGAAGAGAAGACAGGACTCACAGGACTTTGATTCCCCGGGATCCAGTCGCAAGTCACAGAAGAGGATCTTTGGTGGGGTGGACAGGATACACTGACCTCGCTCTCCTGGAAGAGAAGAACCATGTGAACACTGCCCGGCTTTGGGCCATGCCTGGGCCAGCTGGGCCTTATCCTCATGGGGAGGAATAGGGAGGAGAGGGCCAAGGAGGAAACATCTCATGCCCAGTCAGACTATGAGACGTTCCCAGAACAGCTGGAAAGAAAACCCTCGTGTTTCTCTCCAAGCTAGAGCCACTTTGATGTCAGTATTAACAAGGTCCTGCAGCAGCCACCATCAGGGAATCACCCAAGGAAGGCAACCCAGACTTCCCACTTGCTTCTTCACACGCTGCCCTCAAGACACACATTATAGCCTGCCTTATTGCTGCTCGTGCTCTCACTGTCCCTACCCGGGGTTACAGGAGTAGCACTCACCTCTGTTGGGGACGAAGACTGTCTCGTTCTCTGCCTGCACATCGTGCTTGCTGCCGTCAGAGGGAGGGAGAGCTACTCGGTTCTCGCTGGTGTGAAACTGGCAGTGGATCTGGGCGCTGGCCCACGCCAGCATCTCACTGAGAGCAAAGAAGAGAAACACTCGTGTCTATGTTTTAAACTTGGATTACAGCACACATGAACCCGGAGAAGGGCAGCTCTTGCTCTCAGCTCCATGCAGGAATG